TTAAAGCCCCTGTTTGAGCTTAGAAAGTACAATGTTTTGCTACTTTGCTTAGGTTTTATTTTGTTTCTCAGTAGCATGAACCATTATCATTTGTTTAATTTTTTTTGTTAAATTTGGATAATTAGTCATTGAAAGAGGAAACCTTTTAGTACCAATGGAAAAGGAAAACCATCAGGTGGCTAGGAGGAGGGAAGTAAGAAACCGCTGCTGAAGTGCTGAACTTTGAGTTACACCAACAGCCAACACTACCTAATTAAGTGCCTAAATGATTATTTAATGCTAATAGTTTTCTTAAATTATTCTTGATAGTGGTGATAAATGAATATATTTAGTGATAATTGTATAGATTTCTAAATCATACCAAGTATTTATTTTTTCTTGTCTGGGAAAAGGTGCAAGTATATCGTTGATGTTTAGTTCCAGGTGCATATTGCCTCTAAAGTTTTGAAAGATGTAAACTTATCCCTAGAGTTCATATTTAAGAGTAAATTTACCCTTATTCACTTTATTACATAAATAAAAATATATGTATTCAAAAAAACGAATATTCTGACCACCATTTATAATTCAATTGATTTATTTTGAATTATCACAATTCAATCATCTTATACACAATAAGTAATTCGATCATATTAGCATCATAGTGTTATATGAATAATAGACTAATCAAATTCAAGTAGTAAACCAATAAATTCATTGTTATTCAACTTAAACCGAGGAATTAATATCCATACAATGATCTTGGGCATTACCACGAACGCGCAACGCGCGTCACAAAACTAGTATATGACATAAATGAAAATATTTGAGCACAGAACTTGCATTTATAATCCCATTTTACATATGTGAATAATTAAATGATTCAAATTCTATAACTCGTATCCTTCATGCTTCTCTTAGAACATGTTTACTTCATAGTTAATTTCACCGTTAATTTATTCACTCAAACAAAGTAAACATTTTTTTTGGGATAAGTATCTCTATTTTGTAGTAAACACTATTTATGTCTTAAAGTGTTGCTTAGTAGGCATTTCACCCCCATGATTTACTAAGCAACATATTAAGTTTTTCCATATTGACAAGTATACCCTCCTTTTATCCAATAATGAAAGTTGTCAGATCAACCCTACTGCCACCTTGTACCCTATATTTCTCAATGCTCCGTCGTAGATGAACAATAGATATACGAAAAAGACGATCCTATGAATGGCAACAAGCCAACAACGAACCTTCTAAGAAGACATTCCTTCTCTCAACCAACCCCACTTCTTTTGCGCATTTGTTCCATCCTGAAATGGTATGCATCACCGGTCCTAATCGTTAGGGCTTAAAATGGAAAAGTTGAACTTTGAACTGTATTGTGATGAAGATTTAGATCTAAAGTTCCTATGTGATTTGTCCTTCATTTCTACGATTTGTTGCATACGAAATGACACTAGGTTGGAGGGGAGAGGAAGAGATCGGGGGGGGGGGGGGGGGGTGGAGGGGTCAGGGGGGCATTGATTGGGGGCAAGAATGGTGGATTGGGCCAAGGGGGTTGAGGCGGAGGTTGTGAAGGGGTCGAAGCAAGGTGTTAGGGGTTGTGGTGGGTTGAATGGCAAGGGATAGGGAGTCGGTGCAATCAATAGAGCTAGAGGTGGTGGAGACAACGATTGGGAGAGTGACCAACTGATTAGGTCACTGGTGGCGATTGTCACCAGATGAGGCAAAAATGGTCACTGCAGACGGTCGTCGGTGGTCAACTAAGAGCAGTGGTAATTGCGGGCGATTGTCTATGCGAACGATTGTCACCGTGGATGATTGGTCGTTGCAGGTGGTGGTCAATGACAATTAGTCACTGGGGCGTCGAGTGATCAGGTCAATGTGAGATATACCACCGTGTATTGGAATGAGTAATTTAGTAAAACACAATTAGGTTGTCCAGATTTAGGAATAATATAGTCACCTATATGTCTTTTTTTGTGTATGAGTATTTTTTTTTTTGTATATTCTTGTCTTAATCCCAATCAATTATACACATATATTAATGATCGACATGACATGCATAAGTGACCCATTATATATTCCCGTAAAATTCTTCTTATATAGGAGTGTGTGTGTATTGATTGCATTTTATGTTAGCATTTCTAACATAAAACACAAGAAATTGATCTGGATTGTATAGTTTCAATAAAAGAATAAAATAACTAAAACTTTTTATAATAGGAGCTGATTGAACTATTCCTATTTATGGAATTCTCTCGACACGATTTTCTCCTTGATTCACTTTCTTAACAACTGGGAGCATCTCTCATTTGAATTGGTAGGCTTCGAGAATTCAAGATAAATACGAAGTACAAAACAACAAAGTAACAAAATTGGGATAATTGTTTGAAGGTTAGTGTAACACCCAACCTCGTAGGGTCCAAAGTAGGTACTATTACATGCTCTTCAAACTAAATTGTCCGCACAAACCAACACGAGTTCTTTTACCATGCACTTTATCCTCATTCATGCATGCCCTGAGAGGTTTCTCACGGGGTCACCCATCACATGACGTACTGTTCACGTGCAAACATGCATAGCTTGAAGGTTTTAGCACATGTGCTCTCTTAAAAGGAGACGAACCTTATTAATATGAGTAACACTATTAATCATTTTAAATTAATCTCGAGCATTATATTTAGTTTGCTAACATATACCCAATAACGATTAAGAACAGGAGGGAGTTAAGGAGATCTCATTTTCCACCTACTCACAAACATGCACACGCCTAATATTTTAGGCCGTTTTTCGTGAATATTACTAGTACTAAATTAAATTCAAAAGATAAATATATGTTTTATTTTAAAATTTTCCAAAGAAGTGACATACTCAGTGACTTATCATCTACATTATAGTGACTTTTGTTTAGTTACTCGTACACAATCACTAGTCATATTTTTGTCCAAAAACGTAACTTGTCATATTTTTGGCCGGAAAACTCTGTTAGGATGTTTTTACTTAGATTGTAATCTGTCCCAGACCAGACCAGCCCAGACTACATCATAGCAGACCAGACTTGGATAGTTATAAATAAACAAAGAAACCAGATCAGACCAGAACGTTCTAGACCAGACCGGACCAGATCAGACCAAACAACAAATTACAATCCTAGTAAAAACATCCTTAGTAATTACATGTCATATTTTTATTATTTCAGTTACTAATTTGTGTGACATTTATAAATTCTTTACATTTATGGAAGTACATTGAACCAAAAATGTTTCCATATAATTTAATTTGTTATTTTAAATAATAATTTCACATTTATAAATATTATGTGGAATAGATGGAGTATTTGTTGGAAAATATTCCATTTACGTGCCCATGGACCATTTATATAATTTATTATATAATGGGGACATTTTCATCTTACCATTAAGTTTGTCATGACATATTTAATCCCTGTATTTATGTATAGTAAACATTTGGTGGCTATGTTTTAACATTAAATAATACGTAGTACATAATAGACCAAATATGTTTTTCTTTAAAACAAAATATAAACGGCATCCACGTGCACCCATTAAATTCTTACGACAAAAATGAAGAATGATGAGAAATTCAGTCCTAATTTCACTAAACATGACAAAATTTAAGAGAATCAAACATATGCAAGAACACTAACCAGTTGAGGAGAAACCAAAATTTGGTGTTAGAAGATGATGAAGTCATTGATGTTTAGATTTTCTAAAGATACAAAAGTCAGATTTTGATGTATTGATTGGTTCTCCCTTAGGTATCTTATTATAGGTGTTCTTGACACCCTTAGCACAAAACATGTTATTTCGAGAATCTACACATCAATGACTTCATCATCTTCTACAACACCAAATTTTGTTTTCTACTAAATTCATTTTCTTAGAAACTGGGGGAGACCAGCTTCTGAAAATTGATTTTGTTTCTGCTTTATTAAAGAAGCAGAAGGAGAATGAGTTCCAACACTCTCTTAATTAGGATAATGTGTCCTTTTCTGTTTGTTGTTTTTGTTTTTGTTTTTCATCTCTTTACTTTCCATTTTCCTTCATTAATAAGGAGTGTCACCTTGCATTGACAATGGAAGAAATCGTGCTTTGCTCTTGAGGGCTGAGTTGCGTATCATCCGTATCAACACTTCTGGTAACCTGACCATCTGCTATAATAACCAGAACATGATATTGACCCCCGCTTTTCTCTACTACCTCTATTGCTGCATCTATGACCGGCCATAAGATGTTGGCCCTTAGTAATTAATAAAAATTTAATTATTTTAGAATTTGACAATAATTCATAATAAATTTAACTGGTGAATTGATTAAGAATTAGTAGGGGTGGGCAAAAACACCGAACCGGCATGATACCGAACCGGACCGGTATGGTACCGGACCGATAAACGGGGTTTGAAACGGATCTCAATTTTTTTTTTGTCCCGAACCGGACCGAACACTACAAGAAAAAGGCCTATTAGCGAAGGGAAAAGTGGTCGCAAAAACTAAAAAAACGGTCGCTAATAATTATTTGCGACCGCAAAAACTAGTCGCGCGGCCGTCGCTATAGGCTCCGCCGCAAAAGGTTATTTGCGACCGAAAAAAGTGGGCGGTCGCTAAAACTATTTGGGACCACCTAAAATACAGTCGCTAATGATATTATTTGAGACTACTTCTTATAAAGAATTGCGACCACTTTCCCTTCGCTAAATTAGAGTTCTACAAACAACAATCAACAATTGCGACAACCTCATTGGAGTATTTGCGACCATATTCCCTTCGTTATTATAACTAATGTTTTATTATTTATTTGATTAACTTATTGATGAAAATATAATATAATATTATATAATAATTAATATATTGCACATAACCATAACACATAATAGAAACATGAATACGAATTTAAATGTAATCATTCACATTTCAATTCAAAAGTAATAAATAAGCATTAAAGTAGTTAAACATCAATTTGATATTCAACATATCAAATATCAATTGCCTAAGCTACAAAATGTATCTATAAAAACTATGTCATGTTTGAACAATAATGCAGCGGCAAATCTCATTTCAAGCTCTTGAATTTAATCTTTGCTTCCTTGACCTTGTAGCATCTCTCTAATCTTTTGGAGATAATCTTCTGGTGCACTGGGACGATTTTTCATGCCCCGGTTTTCTGGATTTTTCATGCCTCGGTTTTCTGGATTTTTCATGCCTCGGTTTCCTTCTTGTGTTAAATGCAACCTTGCCTTCCAGCTCACTTTTTTAGAAGATGGTCCCTTCAAATCTTTGCAACTCACACAACCTCTAAAGCCAACAACATGACTAAGCATTTTATGTCCAAAACACTTCTCAACTACAAGATATATTAATATGTTAACTACAACAATGCAAACTAATTAACAGGGAAAAATAGGACATACATTAACGTGCATACTTTTGAATTCTTTCCAGTCCCACAAGTTGATCATTCTTCTAGCAAGTTTCATAGAAAATAACATCTATATCTGGCAGATTGTTATCTTTACCCCCTTCAACTATTACTGCTTGACTGCTTGTCTGTTTCCACTTAAACTATCTACATAGGTAGTGCTAACTTTAGAAGCAATAATAGTATCAATCCAGAAAAATCCAACTAGGCCCGGATAGAGATCAGTTCTTGGAACAGTTCATAATCTAGCAAAAAAAACTAGTACTAAGCTATAACTGTTTAATATCATCTCATTTTGAACCGGGACAGATCGTCAACAAGGAAGACTTATTATGTAATAGAGGATTAGCTAGTTAATTTATTCCAGAATTACTACTAAGATAAAGAGTTATACCAAACTTCGGGCTGCCCCTTTCATGAACATTAGTAAACGTTGAAGACATCTTAGAGTTATTAGAGAGGATTGAGCTAAGCCCTTATCCAAATCCCCTACCCAGCATGCCTGATTTAATGAATAACAACTTTGTTGACTTTGTGATTCCAAACCTATTTAAGTTCACTCTCACCTGCAAAAAAATTCAATCGTGATTAGCTATTCTAATAAAATACAAAAATAATAGACAAAACAGAAAAGTACCAAAGGATTTTAACAAAATATCAATGTTTACATGCTTCAAAAGAAGACCTTTATTGAATTACTCTTTTTTTTTCTTTTCTTTGAATGTTGTGCTGCACATTCACTCATAGAAATGGGCTCCTGTAGACATTCTGCCCTGCAAGTTACTTGGTCACAAATGCTTTGACTGGTTAGAGTTCGTTTGGCTGAAAGCAATTTTACAGAATACTTCCTTTGGAAAAATTCAGCAGATCAGTTCTTTCAAACAACCTTACCATAAGAAACTAACCTAATATTTCTCTTGATTTATTGTAGCCAAGGAGACGGTTGTACAAGATGTTAAATGTAAAACTCTTTTGGGGTTGTAGACTTTCAGTGTTTGAGGAGGTACTTTTCCACACATATGTATATATATATAAACACACATTTAACCCACAGACATATCAACTTACACATTAGATATGTAAAAGCAACTCCATTACTCCCCTGTTCTCCATACATTTAAATGTTTTAATGAATGAAAATGTTTAATGAATTAAATAACTAATTAGGGGGTAACTAGACATCATCGATCACTAAGCTCACCTATTACAACCCCATTGTACATAAAGTAGCAACTCCATCATACGTTTATTTACAACCCCAAATCCAACCCAGGCCAAGTAAAAATCAGAAAACCCCAAAAACATTCGAAGTACAAATCGGAGAAACCAAACAACACACCAAGTAAAAATCAGAGAAGGGCAGCTTGAGACGATGGCGGCCAATACAGTCGGCACATCAGAAGAAGGAGAAAAGGTCGGACCGTCATACCTTAAGCCGATAACGACGATGCACGCAGATGCTGAGAGGATGTTCACAGATGATGCGGCTTTCTTTTTTGCAGAGCGCCCAACTGATCGACAATGGAACCTGCGTTTCTTCCGTCCGAGCCGCTGCTTCTGTTCGAGTATGTCTGCGAAAGGTTTTCTCCAGAGCTGAAAAGGTAATGTGCAGCGAGCGTCCAGTAGTTTCTCGAGGTTTTTTTTTTTTTTTCGAGGGTTCCTTCCGATTTTTGAGTTAAGCGGAAAAACCAAAATAATAAGAAAAAGCAGGGCGCTACTTTTTTTGTTTTTTTTTTTGGATTCGCGCCCCCCGCCCAAAACCTAAGCTCTTTAGCGACGGGATTTTACACATATAGCGAAGGGATATTTAAATGGTCCCAGAAAAAGTAATACATTTGCGACCATATAAAATGGAGTCGTTATAAGTATACTTATTGTGACCATAGTAGTAGTCGGTCGCAAATTGTTAGTCGCAAAAAGTCAATTTTCTTGTAGTGGAACCGGTTCCAAACAATGTCATGACTGGTTCTCATAAAATGAGAACCGGTACCAGACCGAACCGGACCGAAGTATGATTTATTAAATTTGTACTACTATAGTTTATCTAAAATATATTAATTACCGCATTCGTCCCAAATTGATTTGCAAAGCCAACATTTTTTTGTCAAAGTTAATGTTAAGTTCTTGATAATTAATACAATTTTTAATAATTAAAATTTACATATTTGGAAACCACATTAAAATCTCTCTAAAGTTGCAAAATCCAAATTAAAATATACGAAGTACGGAGTAGTTTTTTTGAAAGGCCAAATTAGAATATAATTAAAAAGTGAAATTCTAATTAAGTGAATAAAAAGAAATTGTTTGACCAAAAAAGATTGACTTTGCAAATCAATTTGGAACGAAGGTAGTATGATATATGAAAATTGATAAATTGTGTGGATTTTTTGGAGGATGGCTAAACTTTAATTTTTTTCTTAAACACCTGGAAAAAGTGGCATTGTTTGGTATTGGTATGACATGATACCGTCCCGTTTGAAAATGGACCGTACCGAACGGGTTTCGGTCTAAGACCGAACCGTACCGAACCGTTTCAATAGTAACGGTACGGGTACGGGTTCGGCCAAATATTGGACCGGACCGGACCGTGCCCACCCCTAAGAATTACAATTGATGACTAGCTACCAGATAATTTCACATTTTGGAGGACCTTCCTATAGCAAGCAATGACTTCCTCAAAGCCATGACAATACTGGGAAGGGTCAGAGTGAAAGCGAAACACCTTGTCATCATGTGTGCTCACTGTAGAGTCAAAATCACCAAATATTAATTGAAATTGTACCTTCAGTCCTGTTAATTACTTTAATTTATGCATGTGCACTTTAATAGCTCTTAACTTTGGTCACTTAGGATGTTTTTACTTGGAATGTTTTCAGTCTCAGACCAGACCAGACCAGACATAAACAGATCAGACTAGACGTAAACAAATCAAACCAGACTTAAACAGACCATACCAGACGTAAACAGACTAGACCAAATTAAATCAGACCAAACTTTCGTACTTAAAATACATAAGAACCAGACATTTACCAGATCAGACCAGACCAGTCTTAAACATATCAGACCAGATTAAACCAAAGTTAAACAGATCAGACCAGACCAGCAAATTACAGTCCAAGTAAAAACATCATTACGATCATTTTATATTCCTAATAATGTCCTTCATATAACTTTTCCATCAGAGTGGACTACTTCCAGCAAAATTAAAAGTCCTCGACCGCGTTGGCATTTTCAGTTAAATTTTGGTCAGGAAGTGTACATATGTTACGATCGAAAAATCTTTACTATGGACTGACATATTAGTTATAGGACAAGATCTACACTTAAGCAAAGTTACAAGAGTATTAATGGACATGCATAGACAAAACTTACGCGATTACATGAACAAGTTTTACTTTTAATGCATGTAATAATTAGAAACACATGCCTAGATTGCCTGCACACATAGATACGTTATTACTACGTAAATGTTAATTACCATCACCAAACCCAAAACAAGGAATAATGTTATCTTCATCAAATTGAGATAGTGTTTTCCCAATAATAGATATTGCTTTCTCATAAGGATTAGGGTTCTGATGGGGATCATCACGAATGGCATGAAGGCTCCTATTGTTGAATGACTCTTTGCCTGTCCATTCGTTACTCTTTGTGAAATCAATTCCAATTATCAGATTTGAAGATTCTAACCCCGATTCCTTCAAAGCTTCGGTTACCTGTACGTAGTTATCGACTTATCGTTATTAAGTCATGCCCCTTATTAGTAGATGGAATATACAAACAAGTTATCATGAACATTGTTTCTATTTCGCTTTTTTAATAAGTACTACCTCCGTCCAGTTCAAAGATTTTCATTGCAAAATGAAACGATTATTTAGACAATAATTATACATAGTATATGCCAATTTGAATATATGTTTAAAAAATTTTGATGGGTATATGTATAATATACTGAGTTACTAATGATAAATGTGATGTTATAGATATATTATTTTTTAATATTTGATGATTATATTGTTATTTAAAAGTGTTAAATGTTTTCTAAAATAGAAAACGGAAATGTTTAAGTAAGTAGTCTAAAAAAGAAAGTGAAAACGTTTGAATCGGACGAAGGAATAGTATTTAATTCAAATGAAATAGATTTCCTTCGAAAAGGTGCTAGCTTTTATAATTCGAGGGTGTGACTAGGCTTGAAACCGATCGATCATGAAGTAATTAAATGAGTGGATAGAGGTTGAAATTAATGAAGAATTGGAAAAAGAAAGTAGTTTGTAAAATGGAAATAAAGTGATAGCGTGAAGGTGTTTTTACAGAAAAAACTTATTAAATAAAGAATTGTTGACAAATATGGAGTAATAAGAAGTTCTCAAAAAGAAATATAGAGTATGTGAAATAAGGTGTCATTTCAAAAAAATTGAACCATGATTTTGATTAGTATAATATCATGGAATTGAAGTTAATAATTTTATACTTTTATGAAAGTACTTTCAACAAAGAACATTTTCATATAATTTTTTATATTATAAATAATTTTCAATAAAAAGATATAATTGATCAGAATTTTGAAAATGATAAAGTTTTTTGGGACTGAGGTAGTAATAAAGACGGATAAAGTAAACGTTGATTAGTACGAGTATTGTGTAATGTTTATAAGGGCAAGTGATTTTTAAAAGCTAAAAGCTACTACCTCCGATCCTATCTAAATTCTCTCTTTCTTTTTCGAGTCGTCCCTAAAAAGGTCTTTTTTCCTTATTTGGTAAATAAAACAGTGCTAAAAAGTGTCAAACAATGTTCAAACAATGCCAACCAATGCTACTTTTTTAAATTGTGTGTAAAAGAAAGTGCACCTTTATATAGGGACGGATGGAGTATAATAGTTTTGAAAAAACATTTCATAATATCATACTCGGTAGGATATAAAAAGTAAAAGCCGTTATGAGCATTTAACAGTAAACGATTAGCGAAAACAAATTATGTTAGCGGGTTGTTAATAGCTGATTCAGTCATTACCTTTGACAGAGGGAATAAGTTAGCGGGTTACAACAAGATGTTTGATTGAACATCTAACAAGAATGGCCTATTTCAAAATGCCAACAAAAAATGCTACTAGTTCTATTTATCGCGTTTCCGTTTCAACGGTTCCATCCAAAACCCCTATGGTTAAACATCTATTTACCAAACAATGTTTTCACTTATTGAACACGCTAAAGAGAGTCGAACCGCTATTTCTTTGAATTGGTTGAAACGTCATTTTCTAAACACCCTTTTAAGCTCAGCTCTGAAAGTGCTTAATGTGAACATAATAATCACTTACTTCAAAACATTACTTTTATTTTTATACAAAAAAAAAAAACAGAGAATCGCAAAAAACAAAAAAAAAAAAAACCGGAGAACATTTTAATTTTTACTACTGGAAAACACTTGAAAATCAACATATCCAACAGGGGACCAACGGTCATTACAGCTTAAGGCAATCTCTACACATATAAGAGGTGGGAAATGAGATCAACCCCTACCGCAAAAAAAGAACACTACAAAAAATGTGTGACAAAAAGTCCTTTACTAAGTTCGTGACAAAGTTATCACATACGAAATCCGTGACAAAAATACCTGTTTTTCGTAGTGGAAGAAGAGAATTGTGATCAAATAAAGCTAAGAAACCTGATCAAGGGATGTGAAGTTATCAGGGATGTACTGGTCAATGGCGGACCCACTAAGGGTCCCATGGGGTCCCGGGACCCCGTGGACTTCGAAAAATTTACCTATATATATTACATATATTTTACAAAATTTATGTGTATATATAAATAACATGTATGCGACTAAGAAAGCAAACAGATGCCTCGGAGTAGTGGTAGTGTGCATATACTTAAAGTTACCTCCAATACGTGAGGTATTGGGTTCGACTCCCCCTCCCAGTTTATCTTATCGAACCTTATATTTTTTTAAACTCATTTTCTTTGGGTCCATTCTTTAAGATTTTCTTTGAATGTTAAGATTAAATAAATAAATTTATGTATTTATGATTTTTCTTAAAATTTGACGATGAAGGATGAAAATATATTTCAGTATTGTATCCAAATTTAAAGAAATTCGGAGTACCGAGATTAGTTAAGATATTAATTCAAATGTTCGTCTTTAGTAAATAAAGAATCGGATATAGTACTTGCTGAAAGTGAAACTAATTTGGCGGTTTGGCCTATAATCTACATGAACAACATAATGATTTCATCCTAATGTTCAAGAGAGTGTACGCCGTAGTTATTGTCAAAAAAAGGTCATTTCAACTTCGGGATCATGATTTCCCTATTAAAGTAATTGACGGCAAAAAAACGTAGATTTGTTTCAAATTGGTTTGATGACCATAAATGGTTGGAATACAGTATTGCCAAAGATGCTGCATTTTGTTTAGCGTGTTATTTGTTTAGGAATGAGTCACTACTAAAAAAGGGGCTTACAGTGACACTTGTTCAGTGACATTATAACGACGTAAAAGCATTTATGACATTTAGACGTCAACAACATTCCATACTATTACATCGGCAGTATAACAGCGACACTTCAATATACTCCGTAGTTCATTATTTAATTTTAGGTTTTTGAAATTCATTTATACTACTCCGTATTAAATGAGCATCTCCCTTCTCTCGTTCAATTCAGTACACCTACCTTCTTGCCTCCGCTAGCTGTGAGCTCACGAGTCGCGATTATCATCTGGGCTGCTTCAATCGGAAGTCTGGACTCCAGCGGGACTCGCCGGACACACCACTCGCCCATTTGGAAAGGCT